AATATTTTGGCTAATCTATCGAATCCTTTATCGCATTATTGTTCTGCTTGTCGACATGACCTCTTTTCTTCCTATCCTAATTATTAAGTGTTTGTTTAAAGTAAAAAAAGAAAGAATAGCTATATTGTGACTGTTTGAAAATAATGTGTTCTTTTATTTCTATTCAAACGATAAATAAGACGAGCATGTGTATTTATTTTACTTGTCTTACTATTTTTTTGTTGTATTAAAGATTCAAATTACTTTTCTATATTTAATAATTCGACAAAAAACAATCCGTGACTCAAAAATCTAAAAAAATATTTTTTTATCTTAGATTATTGATTATAATGAAATGTACTGCATGCAATGAACGAAATGGAAATACACGATGTGAAGGATGTCATAGGTTATTTTGTTTATCATGTATGAATAAACATCATGATGAACTTGTTCAACAATTTCAATCAATAATGAATATTCGAAATGAAATAAAAGAATCGCTTAATGTTTCGGAATTATTATCAAAAAATGAAAATCAAATATCTTGTTTGATAAAAATTAATGAATGGGAACAAGAAATGATTCAACATATTCAAGAAATAGCTAACAAAGTTCGATTAAATGTAAAAGAAACAATCGTAAAACAGATAAATACGATTTCTGATCGATTTGAAAAAGTTTCAAATCATTTACAACAACAAGAAAAAGAAGAAAACTATTTAGAAGATGATATTGAAAAAGTAAAAAATCAATTGAATGAATTAAATAATGATATTCAACAAATGTATGAAAAAATTCAAGTTCATTGTACGATACCAGATAATATCAAATGGGACACATTAGTTTATATTATTGATGAAGAAATAAATAGTAAATATATATTTTTAATATTAGTTTTAATATCTATTATTTAAATATTAGAAATACCATTATCAAATTCAATACCGATTCATATTACAAAATCAAATGCTTCATCGGATAGTGTAATCATAATCGATCCAAGTCCAAAAATAGATCGATATGAAATATGTATCAATTGTCAACATCGTTTCCATGGTTTGTCATCGACGAACTTTTGTCCTGAATGTGAACAAAAACTGCATATTTCTTTTTCACATTTCAATGTGAATGTACATCCACAAACACACAATGTTCATTTATTAGCAGAAAATCACATTTCTACTCCTGTTTCATCAACAATATTTAATATAAACGAGTCATTACTAATTTATTGTCCATATTGTAAAAATATGAATTTCACAAATCAAGCAGGAAATAATATTGGTTATCATTGTGTCATATGTCAGAATCTTATTCCTTCTATACAACATCAGTAATTGAAAAAGAAAAATGCTCGATAGATTGCTTTTTAGTAATACATAATATTCCAATGCACGTTTTTAGTCAGAAGTAATTCTTTTTTTATACTTTAATAGTTATTTGTTATTTTTATAAAATGCAATATAGAGAGAATAATGCTTAGATATTATCTGTTAGTTTTATTTTAATTAAATTTCTTAAAAGCTGCAATAAAAAATAATTTTTATAAAAACTGCTATTGCTATTTAAATATCATCCATAGTTTTGGAAACTCGTTTTACTTTTTCTAAATCTTGGAAACGATTAATGTACTGTGAATGATACAAGTAATAAGACTATCAATCATTTTATTATTTTAAAAACAATACGTGTGACGATTCATTCTACCTTAAAACATCATCAGACACGTATAAACGAAAGGAAAAGTTAGAGAATATATACTAGTATATATGTGATTTTTCTAAACATTCCAATGCAGATGACTCATCTATCTTCCCCTTGCATTTAAATGTTTAGATGAAACATATACATACTAGTATATACACTATCTAACTTTCTCTTTCACTTATAAGTGTCCGATGATATTCATAGGTAAAACGAAACGTTACACATTGTTTTTAAATAAAATAAAATGATTGATAGTCTTATTACTTAAATCTTATTATTATTTAAATTTATACTCTCAAATGATGTTCATAATATACTGTATCTATCTACAATTATCTTACCTGATATTTGTTCATGTTGTTTCAGATTATCTGTATTATTATAGTGGTTTATCGTAAAAATGAAATGCACTTCATGCAATCAACGAAATGGAAATACAAGATGCGAAGGATGTCATAGTTTATTTTGTTTATCATGTATGAATAGACATCATGATGAACTTGTACAACAATTTCAGCTGTTAACGGATATGAGAAATGAATTAAAAGAATCAATTGACATTGCAGAAACAAAATCAAAACATGAAAATAAATTACCTTGTTTTAATGAAGTTAATGAATGGGAACAAGAAATGATTAAGCATATTCAAGCGATTGCCAATAGAACTCGAGAAAATCTTTGTGAGATTATGGTGAAAAATATAGTACAAATTCGTGATCAGTTTGAACAGCTTTCTACTACTATGCAACAACAACAAAAAGAAGAGAATTATTTAGAAAATGAACTTGAAAAAGTTAAACTACAATTATGTCAATTAAAAGAAGCTATTTCACATATAAATGAAAAAGTTCATGTGAAAACATCAAATAATATCGATTGGGATAGATTAATTCATGTAATAAACAATGAAAATAGCATACAACAAAATAACTTTCATACTGATCAAGAAAAACAATCAAGCTTTCGTCCAGTAAATCCTTTATCCTTCACATTGAATGACTCTGAATCTTTTTCGCCTATCTGGTATCCGGATTTGTCACAAAATACTTCTACAAATTTCGAGAGATACACACCATTAATTCAGAATATTGTACCACCTGATAGCATTGATGCTATGATTCCAAACCTAGATCAACCTTCCTCGTGGACAACAGTAGCCAGAAATAGACAAAGTACTCCATAATATTAATTTTGATAATCAAATGAATGATATAAGTTACAACCAATGCTTTTTTTATTTCTATTCAAATAAAGTGTATTATATGAAGATCTTTTCATTGAGTTTAACAAGATACCATATTTCAACAGTAAATAACGAAAGTTATCCTATACAATTAAATTAAAATAAGAGTTAATGATTGACTTAAGCAAATAAATTATTAAATTTTCAATATACTAAATTATTTTAATAAAAAATGTTCACGTCTGACATCAATACTATTTATATTCTAACTGGTTGTATACTTCGACGAATATAATTTTAAATAGAAAAGAAAGAAAAAAGAAAGAAATTCATATTTTCAATGCAAGTGTATGGAGTTTAAAAGAAATATTTAAATTATGTATTATTCTATTCTATATACTAAGATTTTAATAAATCAACTATCACTGGATGTGATTGATTATTCATGGGAATCATCGTCATCTGCTGATATTTTTCAAGATAATTATCAGACTGAAAATAAATTTTTGTGAAACAAAACAGCCGACATTTATTCGACAAAATTTAAACATGTTAACAAATATAATTTACTTGATTTTCCTATTACCATCACTAGTTGTTGGATGTGGTATTACGACACATATTGAAGTATCACATCGTGCACAAGATCTTTGGTTACATCAACCTACTTATCGAAATTATATTCTTCAACATCAAGATGCATTACAAGGCGGATCTCCTTATCCTGATACTATGTATGATTCCGTATGTTATCATGGTAATTTACATCAAATAGCTGAAGATACACATTGGTAATAAAACTATTCAAAACTAATTTTATAAAAAGATGTTTTTTTTTCGAATTAGGTATCCATTTATGAAAGTTGCTATTGAATATATGCGTGATCGATATCCACCTCCATTACAATCTGATAATATTCAAGGGCAAAAATTTCTTACATTTCTTCTTGGTACAGCATCACATCAAATAGCTGATGCTGTATGGCATGGAAGTTTAACTGGTTGTCCAAATGGATTTATTGATGCAACAGCTTGGGAAAGTTTCGATGGAGATAAAGGAAAAGCACATTCAAGTGTCGATCCAGGTGGTGATAGTGTTATTGATTATGAATTACCTATTGGTTATATTGGTAAAATTTTCGTTTTATTTATTTCTATAAATATATTTGAATGTATAGGTTTAACTAATAAATGGTATATACCAAGTCGTGAATTAGAAGAAGTTTATAAACGTTATGCAATTGAATATGATTCACCATTAGAAACAAATGCTACAGCTGAACGTGTTCAAATATGTTCTGATTTTATGTTTATTGGACGATTTGCGGATGCTTTATTTCTTGGTCTTGAATATCCAAAATATTCACATAATAATACATTTTTATTAGAACAACTCGATCAATATTATCATGGTGGTTTAATGAATATGGCTCATCAAACTGTTCGATATTGGGATCAAATTATAGCTATGTATGAAAAAGGTACTGATATATGTAAAGCATCAACAAATAATCCATATTATTTAAATTGTACAATACCACATTTACATATTTCGAAAGAAAAACAACAATCAATAACATATATTCGTTCAAAATCATCAAATTATCTACCATTTTCAAGTAATTCCTATACATCATTATCAAAATTACAATATACACAAATTGATACAGGTGTTATATCCAATCAAAGTTATGCATCATTTGGTTATACAACACTTTTTGATGATTTTAATAATGATGGATTATCTGATCTGGTTATATCAGCACCTGATTATTATAATTTAGGTTGTACACAAGGTGGTCGTGTTTTTATTATTTATGGAAAGAAAGATCAATTACCAATACCAGAACATAATATTAATATTATTGAACAAATAGCTAATCAAACATTAATATCACCTGATTGTGATGGTGATCGATTTGGAACTGGTTTAACTTCTCTTGATTGGAATAATGATGGATATAATGATCTTGTTGTTAGTAGTCCATCACATGGTTATGGTTATCGTGGTGCTATATTTATTTTTGCTGGTAGTAAAGATGGTCTTGAAACAAAACCATTTGTACGTATTGATGGTGTTAATGAACATGATTCAATTGGATTTGAATTACATGCAGCACACCTTGATAATGATACTCTATTAGATTTAATTATCACAAGTCCATATGCTCAACCAAATGGTTATGATCAACCACAACAAGGAGCTGTTTGGATATTTCTTAGTTCACATCAAATATCTGATCGGCAATTAACAATCAATAATGCAACATTTACAATCTATGGTGAAAATGCTAAATCAAAATTTGGTTATTCGCTTCAAATTATTCCTCCATCATGTATTAGTCATAAGACATCATCACCAGCACTTTTAATTAGTTCACCAATGAATCAAGGAAAACTATATGTTTATATTATTGAATCACAAGTTCGTCTTTTAATGACAATTGAAAGTACACAAGAACATGCACGTTTTGGACAAAGTTTTTCTATTCAACAAGATAAATGTTTATTAGCTGTTGGTTCTCCAACAGAATTAAATGATTGGTATGGTGTTGTAGATATTATTCCATTATACACTCTTTTTAATCAATCAAAAATTCATCTTAAACTTCATGATATTCCAATTCTTATATCAATTCATGGTCATAAAATCTTTCAACGTCTTGGTACAAATATTCAATGGACAGCAAATGGTGATTTAGCTATATCAGCTCCATTAGGAAAAGAAAAAATCTTACCATTAGAATTTGAAAAATCTGAAGGTTATGTTTATATTGTCCCATCAAATCGAATTCCAACTCAACCTGATCCAAATATTTATTATATTGATAAAATAAGTTCAATTACATATGCTGCTCATAATCGTTTGAATCGATTTGGTACTCGTATGAATATTCTTTCTTCAAGATTTGTTTCTTATTTGGTTATTTCATCACCATTTACTACTCTGTACGATGATGTTCGTTTACCTGGAATGTTATATTTTCAAGAATTAAAATTATAAAGTTTACTATTTTCTTTTTTTTGTTTAGATAAATATTGACATTATAGATATTTTGCAATAATAAAAACCAAGAAACATTCTAAATGAATATACATATCGGAGAAATTCAATTCAAGGAAGAATGCTAATTCTTTTAAAATATCGAATTATCTGTGTTTACAATAATTTTATTTCATAATATAGTAATTCTTCTAAGAAATCGATTATGGTCGAAGAATTTAGAAAAATCATTGTGCTATTCTTATTATTTCAATCAGATCTGTAATAAATAGTGGTAAAATGTAATATGATATTCCTAGCCTACAGAAGCTATTTTTTTATCTGTTACCATGACAGAATGTTGATAGATATTAATACATGATTTCTTTTGAAAATTATATATTTTGCTGATTCTAATAGTAAAAATATTGTTGTAGTTGTAGTAATTCTTATATGTTTATTTTTTATAATAAGAACTATTTTATGTTTGTAAAAATACAAAATCTGATTAATTCATTTGATCATATTCTGTCAAAGTAGAAACAGATGTTTATCGTAGAGCAGCTTTGTTTCTACTCAACTGCATCCTTAAATCCTTCAAGGCCACCAAGAATGCTCTTTCGGAATTTTTGCCGGATCGATGTTGATACAGCCATCATACTCCGGCGGAATATCCTGCGTGTTACAAATATATTCTTCTACACATTGAACAGGATCAGATGCCAAAAGTTGCTGAAGTTTCTGATGCGGTATTTCATCAGTCTTGAATTCGTCGACTAGAAATTGCAGTCCTGAACGCCATATTTGAGCAGATTGTCGTAAATCTGGATTCATAGCACCATGTATGTCCATGAAAGTCCGTTCGAAGATCGGGATGACGTTCACCATGAGTGCGGCCGCTTGAGGTCTATCTGCTGGAGTAAACAGAGGCTTTTCGTCATTGAAAGCTCTTTGGAGCAGTTCTTGAACAGCTAATTTTTTGTATGGGCTGTTGATAGATTGCTGAAATAATGTCTTAAGTTGAGAAAGAAGTTTGGTACTAGTAGAATGTGACATAGCTAAAATAAGACAAAGATTGAATAGAATTATTAACAGTACTATTTCTCTTAACTTTGAAAATAAAGATGATTCAAAAAATAGTGTGTACGATTGTAAGCGAATAAATAAAATATTCGTTCGCTATATTAATTACATATATGGTGTTTTCCTCTTTTCTATGAAAGAAAAGGGGAAAAATCCCATACGACCATATATGTGGAAGAATGTCTTTCACATGTATGACGATATGGCATTTTTTTCTTATTCTTCATATATATTCGTATGGTATATTCCCTTTTCGTTGTTGTAATTCGTTTTTTTTCTGTTCTTTTGATTTATATCGAAATGTGTTATATCCAAGTTATAACAAAAAGATATCACATAGATATTATTCCAGAAGATATTGTAGTGCAGAGGAAGGAATAATCCAAGAAGTAACCGCCTCTCGTCGTATAAATATTCGTGTTTTCTTAAATAAAAGAACTATTATTACGCTTCGAAATATCATCTTCTTCTTCAAACTTCAACGACACTGTTGTATACAGAAAACTAAGGTTAGAAACAATTTATATACAAATATATATAAACGATCTTTTCGCTTATATATGAGTGCGACACTAATTAACTCACCCATTTTTAATGAGAAATGATCCTCTCAACAAACAACGAAAATGGCGATGTTTTGATGCCTAGAAAGATATTTTTCAGAGAACGTAAATAAGTCTTTCCGAATAATGTTTTCTACTTCATTTATTAAGAAAACAAAATTATCGTATATAAAACGTATACTTTTACATATCCGTATTTACGTTTTTTTAAATAATAAGAATCAATAGATTTCGGAGAACGAACTTTTGTTTGGCTCACGTTAGTTTTGATATATTCTATACGATCCTTGGAAAATACATTCGAAAGAGAGATGCGTATTACAAGATAAACATTTGTATGATGTTTGCCAACAAGTATTGTAAACGAAAAGAAATTTTGAGTATTTTAACTATTCTTGTTTTTATTCGTGAGAAAAAATTACAGTTTCATCTAGTCGAAATCAGAATTTCAATTTACTTCATATTAACGACGGTTTTTTTAATCATATTCAACATTCGTCTAGAAATTCAGTTTGATTTTGACCCCATAATTCTAGCTAGGTTAGTAGACATAGTTTAAAACGAGGTTGATTAAGCTAACGTGAAAAACAAGAGAAATTATTTACAGATGACTTATTCACCAAATCGCACGAAACTGAACGAGTCAACTTTTGTAATTTTTATTCTTGTAGTACTCCACGCAGGTACCTCCTGTTGCAATATAAGAAATATATATCACGCTCAAAGAATATACTTAAAAAATTAATATATACGATTTTCATCTAGAGTCTATCCTATCAATAACTTACTAAATTGATAGAACGCGTTTTTTACTGATAAAACATTTATCGAGCAATGGTCCAGTATATTCATTGTATAAAGTGTGTTGTCCTAGATCGGAATCTATTTCGAATTGTTAATTCGTTCTGTGACTGTGACAACTGTGGTACTGTATACAACCTTGTAATTAAACCACTGTGTTTCGATAATATTATAATTCTACATTTAAATTTAGAGATGGGCCAAGATTTCTCAAAAGAATATTCATCAACTTGGGAAGATTCCGATGTTCTAAAGTGGATACAAACTGCTCGTGACGCTTTGAAGATCTATTACTTGGCTTACGAAGGTATTCAATGGCATGAATACTCAGTTGAGCAAAGATCTTTATTAACAATCAAAATCTGCTTTGCTCTCTATGGACCACCGACAATAGAAAATGCAAATTATGACACACTGGAAAAAGCTTATAGCGCTACTCAGAAAGAAGCTGCGGACAAAATCAAGGATAAGATTATTGAAGTTTACAACAAGTCTCCAGCTACCAGCTTGCAAGTCGGTATTCTTTTTATTTCATGCAAGCAACAGCAAAATGAATTCTTATTACCAGTGTTCCGCGTTTATACTGGTGATGATAATAATAATGTCCAACTTTCGAAGTATATTGACACTAACTGTAGAGTCTACAAAGATTGGTCAGATTGGAAGAAAAATAATAAGCTACCTATGATGAAGTATTGCTACCCTTTAGAAGGTTTTTATACATGCAGCAACGATAACACCTACAGGTTCGAATCTGATCAAGATCCTGCCGTTCATTTTGGTACTTCTCCAGCATGTGGTTTCTTGCCTAGGGTTGCAAGGCAGGCAGATGTACTTAGTGGTGTGACTTCTCTTGGCAGTGGAGGTATTGCCATTGCCGCAATGTTCACTCCATTGGCGCCGGTCGTTCTTGTTGGAAGTGCCATCGCTGGAACAACTGCTGCTTTTTATGGTGCAGGAAGGTGAGTATATTTGAAATCATAATATTTTATAAAATTGAATGTTTAGATCGATAAATCGTCTCATTGACAAAGGCACTCATGATGAGAGTTTGACTGATTTGGAATCGTTGACTTGTTGGCTTAGCATCCTTATAACTCCTGCTCATGTTGCTACTACTGTTGCAAACGGTGCCTTAGCAGCTGGTGCTCGAAACAGCGGAAGAATTTTTTCAAGTACTGCTCGAACGGCTGCAACAATTCTGAATCTTACTACATTTGGACTAGATTCAGTCATGGTTGCTTTTGGATTTGCTAACTTAATCGAAAAAGCAAAAAATGACCAGCTAACACCTTTGGACGTCCTACAATTTTCAATGAGCATCTTCTTTTTCGGTCACACTCTGATTCAACCTAAGACTGCATCCAGAATTATCAAAGCAGCGCAAAATGAGCATATTACTGCTTTCAAGAATGCAATGAGTGATCTAGATGCACAAAAGACTTTTCAAGATTTTGTCGACCAAAATCGTGGGAACCGCGGTATAAGAGACAATTCAAAAATCGTGAGAACCATTAACAAAATTGAAAATCCTAACGGATTCTTCAAGGGTCTTGGAGATATGAAGGCCGATATTGGTGGTAGAAAAGGACGGACTATTATCATTAATGACAATCATGGTCAAAGTCACAGAGTCAATCCGAATCGGTAAGCAATCTCATTACTTGTTTTTGTGCATTTTAAGTATTTATGTTTAGAGTTTTTTTCGATGGCCAAAGCAAGTCACTCATAGATTTAAATGCTCTTCGTAACAAGTTGTCTGCATGCTTTCGCACAGAACCAGAAAGTGTCCAGATCAATGGTGAACACATTTTTCAAAATATGACAGAACATCAAATGCAACGAGTTGAAACTGTTCTCGGTGGAACCGCACGCAAATACAACAATGGGATAGTTGAAACTGCTAAAATACTTACGCAAAAAATGGGTTATAGCACTGTGGATGACTTTTTATGTGTCGTTGAGCTTGTTGCCAAGGAAGTCCAAGGTATATTCTGCTTACTTTAAGATCAAAATATTAAAAATTCTATAAATGTTTAGGCAAGTACGAGGAAAATTTGGTCCCCGCATTAAATCATCTACAAGGTGCCGGACAGGCGGATTTTATCAGTGGTGTGCAAAGTGATCTTGCAAAAGCCAGACAGATCGCTCAAAACGCAAATATCAGCTTTGCCAATGATCTCAAAGCAGTCTACCACTATCGAAAGCATGGGAATGATTTTCCAACACGATTATCTGATAAGATTGATTTTTATCTGAGCGACATGCCACATAAGATCTTCAAAGACGCAAATTTGACAAATATCAGTCGTCAACCAGTGAGTTTCAATTTTCCCTTTTGACGTTAATAGATATATAATTTTTTTTTAAGAATGGTGCTACAATAAAAACTTATATAACCTCAAAAGGTGAATTCGGAGTTGTTGTAGAGTTGCCAAACAATCAACGCTGTATCGTTACATTGTTCAAACACGCAAAAGCATTGAAAGCTTTCCAAAAAAAGATGGCTGCATCGAAATCTGAAGCTTTCCAACCCTCTATGGTTGGGGACATGGCTAAACTGATGGCTAGTTCAATAGGATTTGCTTCAGTTCTGATCAACGTTACTGTGAATAATAAACCGGCCGTTTCATTGGACAAGTTTACCACGGACGAATGTGATGAAATACATCTGCGCGAAATTGCTCGTATTCTTCATGCTCTAACTTTGGATGACGATGATCACCGATCTTCTGAATAATAAACTTCAATGAAATGATTGACGTTTCTTTTTGCTGAGAATAAAGGATAGTTGTAGATTTTTATTCATATATAAACCGTTTATTTGTTGCTCTATTTTTCAATTTTCTTATTCCTCTCAAAACCATAAAAAAGACGAGCGTTCGTCAATTAAAAAAATCCTTTATCTTTGTAAAAATCTACACAAATCAGTGTAATGATGATATTGATAGTCAAGGACAATATATTGAAAATGTGTTAAATACATCATTGAAGAATAGATTAATCAAATAAATTATTTAAATTACTCGAAAGATATTATCATTCTTGTTTTTGGATGGAATTTTTAAAAAAAATATTCTCGCATCAATCGTTGTTAAACAGCAAACATAAAACAATTAATCAATTAGGATTATACTCATCAGAAATGTTCCTAAGATTACTAATATATTCTTGATATAAATATTTTATTTGTGAAATTTGTATATCGATTAACAACATTTAAATATGAATATATAAAAACAAAAGGAACCGAAATGAATATATTGTATATAATAAAGAAAAAAAATGTGTAGATATTTATTTTTTCATTGATCTTGCATTCATTGTAATCAATGTTAAAAAAGCATCTGTTTCAACTATATAACGTTTATCTTCTGGTAAAAGACTTGATATAATATCAGGATCAACTCCTTCATTTTGCTAATAGAAAATAGAATGAAATATTTTTTAGACTATGATAAAGAAATTTGTATACCTTGAGTGCTTGACGTACAATTTCTAATGTTTCATCACCGAGAATTTTACGTAATTGTTCTTCTCGTTCGTCATCAAGTTTAACACGTTGTTCAAGATTATCTTCATCTTCTAGATTACACCAAATATTATCATCGTCATTATCATCATCATCTTCTGTGAGTGATATTCTTGATTTCTCATCTTTCTGTATAACAGGTTCACTTGCACAATGTTTCATTTTATCTTCATCTTCGTCATCATCATCATCGATTAACAAACTTTGATAAGCTTGTTTTAATGTCTGTATATCTTCATCATCATCAGATTTTTCACCGCTTGAATTCGAGTCACTACTACTAGTACTAGTGCGAGTAATTTCTTTTTTAGTACCAAAAAATAATGGTTCTTGTGATGATTGAACAATATCAGTTAAACTTCGATTTAATTTATGTAATTTAATCGTTGTTGTTTCTTCAGGTAATTCATCAATTTTATGTAATTCGGGATTGGAAACAGTTCGAAGAAGCTTAAAAAGAAGATATTTACTATAAATATGTCTTGAAAAAAAAAAACAAGTCATTTACAAATTTATTCTTGGCATCAAGACGTCCTGTTGTTAAACATTCGATAAGTTCAACTTTGTCTGATGCTGATATAGTTCTATTTTAGAATTAAATAACAAAATTATCAAATAAAAAAAATTGCATTTTTCTTTTATACCTCTGTTTTTTGTCTTCAGTCAATGTTCCATGTAAATCTTCAACAACTAAATCATTTTCTTTTGGTTTTTTCGATATTTCATCTGTCGTAGTATTAGAAGAAATAACTGGTTTTGGACTACTAATAACATAAGTTTCATTGTGTCGATTTGGATTAACTCGATTAGCTAATGCTTTTAAGCCAATATCTGATGTTACCGTATTAACTGTACTTGTTAATGTATTATCATAAACATTTGCATGTTCAAGTACACTTATAATTGTACCACGTGGTGCTGCACCCCATTGTTGTCGATTCGGTGTATTTGGTCTTTCCAAATTCATAGCTTGTCCTTGAATATTTAGATCTGATAAACATGAATCATTCATTATAGATTGACGATTAAGAACTGCTGAATCAAGAGGTGCTTGTTGATTCCATTGTGAACGAACTTTTGGTGGTCCACCTTTTTCATTCCAACGTTCTCGAGCACTTTTTTGATTCAGATCTTGTAAAATATTCTTTTTTCTTTCTTGATTTGCACTAGACAAAAAAAAAGCATTATTTTACTAACAGAATAATTTTATATACAAACCTTGATGGTCGACTACCAAGATCATTCAATACTTCAGTGAGATTATTATTAACTGCTTCAATCTTTTTTAACGCTGCTTCTTCAGCTTTTTTCTATTTAAAAATAAATAAGAATAATAATTACATTATTTATATTTACTTCTTTTTCTCTTTGAGATATAATAGCCTGTTGATCATAAGCTGAACGATATCGATCATCAACTTGAATATTATTGGATGGCTTTAAAAATAATATTCGATAATAAGATAAATTAAATAAAACAAAAATATTCAATTACTTTATTCGCAGCAAATTTTTTAAATGCAGTTGGTGGTTTATTATTTATTTCACGTTTACCTACGAGATTTTTTCGACGAATTTCATCAAGATTTCGTTCTACTTCAGCTACTTGACCAATATTTGGATTAATAGCAGCAGCAGCTCCCTTAATTAATTTATGATCGAAATAAAAAAAGAATTTAAGGACTATCTTACACCTATAAAACCTTGTCCACGATCTTTATTGAATTGAGCTTGTCGTCTATTTTCGAAATAATCATTTTTTACTGCTGGTGGTCGACCAACATTTGCACTAAAATAAGAAATTCATAATGGGTTACTATTAGCATAATCATAAATATTTACCCTGGAGTTGGACGAAAATTTTGATTCGCAGGAGGTGGTGTTTGATATACTTGAATATGAGAATTAGGTTGTTGCATTTGATTATCTAAAATAAAAATTTTTTTTTTCATAATTCGTTTCTAATATTTATATAGACTTTTAGTCCAATCATCCATATTGCGTTCTCCATCAGCCATTTTTTGTTTATGTTGATCTAAGAATGCATGATATTGATCATAATTACCTGCTTTAGGTGTACTTGGAATCGGTGATGCTACAACCTTTAATGTTTTTTAAGTATAAAAAAGTAAATTTTCATTAATTTACATACTGGTTTTCTTGCTGATATTTGATTCATTTTAGGTTGTGGAATTATTAGTGGTGGTGGAGGAGGCTGTTTATTTACATCTGATTGATCCTATGATGCGAAAATGAATACATATATACTAATAATAACGATAGTCTTACCGAACCACTATTATATGATAACAAAGGACTACGATATTTATCACGTTGAATACGTGATTTTTTCTCGTTTTCGTATAATTCGTGTCGTCTTTTCTCTAACTTTTCTACCTAAACATAAGGAAAAATGAATTTCTATGAAAATAATTGTTTCTTATTTGTTTCAAACGAACTTCCTCTTTTTTTCTATGAATTTCTCTGCGTTGTCTTGCTATTTCATTCTCTTTCTCAACAGATATAACTGGTTTTGGAGTAACTGCATTCGATTTTTTGACTGGTGGTGCACTGAAAACAAAAATCTATAATTAGTAATTATGATCTTTAACAAACCGATTTGCAGGACTAGGAGTTGCAGAAGCTGGACGTCTCATAGGTGAAGGATTGGCATAAACTTTAACTGGATCATATAATGGTACTTTTGCTGCTGCTGAACCTGGTCGAGCAGACGCTGGTGGTTGATGTAAAACATTTGATTTTGGAACTACTAGCGGACGACTGACTGGTGATGGATTTGGATGAGCAGCATCAAAAGATAGTTTTTGACCATGTAAAACAGTATGATCAAACTCAGCTTGTTGTACCTATGTTATATAAAACATGTGAAAATTTTATTTCCAACAAGAAAAAGTAAATACTTCATCTGCTAAATATTTTGGAATGCGACGATAGATAAATGGTTTTTTTAAAATCGTATTTACAGAAGGACGTTCTCGTGGTTCTCGTTTAAGCATCAGTGTTATTATACCTCGTAAATCAGTACTAAACGTTGCAGGTATTGGATTAAATGAACCACTAACAATAGAAAACATGTTTATAAAGAAAAAATAAAATATATCTATTTTTACCGAACAATTCTCATTATAAGACCGTTCATATTATTAGCATCAAACTGAAAAGCAAAAAAAAACGAATTATTATGAGAAATTATTTAAAAATTTCTTACAGCATGTTTAAGAGTGGTTACTTCATATAAAACACAACCAAGACTCCAAACATCAGATTTATTATTATATGGTCTTTGTTGACATATTTCAGGTGATAAATAATAGGGTGTACCTATTTGTGTACGAGCTAATTCACATGTACTAGAAGAATATAAATAAATCTTGTTTTATATATAGAAGATTATTTAAAAAAGAATCCTACGTATTTAAAACTTTTGATATACCAAAATCACCTAATTTTGCTAAACCATCACTTGTTAAAAAAATATTCTGAAAATAAAAAATTTTAAAAAAAATTCAATCATAGATTTTATTTCATTTACTTGTGATTTAATATCACGATGAAGTACTTTTCGATCATGCACATGTTTAAGTGCTAAAGTTATTTGCACAAACCAATCAAGTATCTGATCTTCTTTAAATAAAGCTCCACGTTGTTGTAGGATACGTGAATGTAAATCTCCACCATCACAAAAATCCATGACGATAAATAAACTTGTTGGATCTTAATTTAAATAAAAATTTAATATTATTATTTCAAATGATAACTTTGTTAGGAATAAAATACCTTCGAATGATTCAATATAAGAAACAATATATGGATGTTTCATTTCACTGAGAACTTTAACCTAAAATTGAATTAAAGTTTCAAAAGAAATTTATTTTGTTTAATAATATACTTCTTTTCTTGAATCATCACGTTCTTTTTTACCCATCTGATAAAAAACAAATCGTATATAATTTTATTTTATAAAAAACAAATGAATTTACTTTAGCAATTTTAATTTCTTTCATAACATATTTTTTTGAATCACTTTTCGATTGAACAAGCCATGCTTGACCAAACGCACCTGAACCTATTACTTTTTGTTTATTATATTTTTCCATTGAATTATTAAATGTTCGTCAATTTTTTTTTATTATTATTACGAACAAATGTATATTGACGTGAATCAATAAACATGAATCATTTTTGGATTAGTAACCATATTCATTCGAACATATTACCATCGATATAGCCTCTAACTTAAGAAGGAAAAAAAAGAAATCAACAGTGGCGACATCAGGACTAAAGAATAGACCAATGGTTCGGTACTATGGCGTGTCAGTCAATCAAACGATTCTTTGTAAGACTAAACTAACTTATTTTTATTACAGAATTATCGTTCGTTGCTGCCTAAACTTAAAAAATGCTTGATATCGAATGGCCCTTTCCAACGCATATGGTAAAAAAAAATTTAACTGTTTTTACTGGAATTATCAATTTTTATTTTGAAGGATTTTCGTGGTCAAAAAATGGCTGAAAGACTATTTCAAGTTATTATTGTTTTTTTTGGTGTAAGACTTGATATTTTTATTTTTTTCTTGCGTCTTATTTATTTTTTTATCAATAGCTTATTGGTTTTCTTGCTGGTTATATGATGCAACAATTTAGTATGACGATCTATAGTGTTCTTTTTGGCGTTTTAGTTTCTGCTGTTGTACGTATTATAATTTATAAAGATAATTATCTATTAAATAAAAATCTATTTTTATTATAGTTAACAATTCCACCATGGCCAATGTATCGTAATAATCCAGTTGAATGGCAAAAACCATCTAATTCAACTAAAGAAACAAATAAAAATAATGCATCATCATCATCATCATCAAAATCACCAAATAAAGATGTCCGTAAACCACCAAAAGGAAAAAAAGACCAATAAAAAATGAAATTTTGTTTTATTGCTATTGAGAAAAATAAAAATGATCTTAGCTGAAAAGTTTTAATTTCAGTTGTGACTCATTGATTGTTAAAATAACAAAGAATTTAGATCAAAATGATACATTTCCACTTGACTCATTAGTATTTCTTAATTTTGCCCCATACATAATAATCATGAAGAAATACTTATTTCTTTTTAATTCATCAAAATTTCTTTCCTTGTTTTAAATAAATCTATTGATATATTTCATGTAAATTATCGATTCGATTAAGTATAATTACTTGATTATTTTCCTATTTATTTATTAGAATTTTAGAATTATGAGAAATATCTTTAACTGATTCACTAACATCAGAGATAGCAATAACATTATCACGAATTTTTTCTTTATATAATTGTGGATAATGTTTGAAATGTTCATATCGTCTATGGACATTTCTAATTGCTTTCATTCTATTTATAATATTTTTGTAATATTTCACATTTTTGCTACTTACTTCATATGCCTTCATATTGAAACTAGATTTGTGCTGTACACGTAGTCTAAATCTAATTTTCAATCCATCTATTATATTTTTCTCCAAAGTCAATAATCAATATTGCTAACCACTTATATCATACTTTTAGCGAAATCTCTGTATGATTAAAATATATAATATGAAATAACTATAGTTACTAAGAGTAAAAGACCTTTAACAAATAAATTCAAGTCTAGTTTGTATATCTTTGATAATCTTTCTTATCAACTTATCATACATAAATTAAAAATAGTATTTTCTTTATACTTTTTCACTTTTTCGATATAAACTGTAACGAGTTCTTCTTTCATAGATTAATTGACAGATATACAAAGAAGCAAATTTCACTTCTAAACTGTACGCTGGGTGTGGGGGTGGCACAGTGAGCAACTAAGTGGACATTAGGTGAAAAATCGAAAGTACACTTTTGTAAGATTCAACTAGTGTTAGATATCCTTCAGACTATGGACTACTTAATGGTGTTAAAAGTTTTAATACGCCGTTCATCTAGAGTGAAAAAATGAGCGAATTGAAAATAATAAAAGATCAGCCTAAAAATAGGTCCATCTATACAACACGTACAGTTTTTTTTACAGAATCCACTGAAAAGTGACAACCAAAAACAATATATATTATGAATTTGCATAATATCAGCTACCTATTTATAATTAAAAAGTGGTCAATTACTACTGAAGGTTTCTTAGAAAAACATTTTCGTTTTTTCCATAGTGCTGTACCAAACGACTATATTAGTAAAACGAGCGCCCCCTTCAGCCCCCAATTCGAAACTTATTCAAACTTTGCCAGAATGTTCCCCCATATGTCCGCTATCACCACAGGTAGCATAAATTAGTATAAATGTTCCTGGACCATACAGAATGCTTTCGAAAAAACCATGGTTTTTCAGGTATACCATATTTTTCTTGACTAAGAAATGTTTTGTATTCAATATAAATATCATATTTAGAATCAGCGCATAAAACTGCATCAACTGATGTATGATTTGTTAGCTTTTACAATAAAAAAGGTTTTGACAAAAAATTAGGGTAAGGGCCCCCTCAGGGATTTTTGATTAAAAATTTTTTTTTTTGCATCTCACTTTTTTTTCATTAGTGGCTATTACTGAAGAGTAGAAACTAGGATTTCTGTGAAAAAAACTGAGATTTTAACATGAAATAAGTCATGTCCACATGCCCTATAGAAATTGCCCACTGTGGGAGGGTAGCGTGGTCATTTTCTTATGAAAAAAGGTTTTTCCGCAAGGGCTCGAAACATATATGGATCCACTTAGATTTTGACGCTGATCCCGAATAGAATACTTATTTCTGCTGAAATTGCAGTCTTTCAACCAGAAGTCGGCAAAAAATCGCCAAAAATGCGTCGACGCATAGCTAAGTGATCAATAGTTTTTAAGTCTGGATAATATGAAGTTTTGTAGTCCTGAACACATGCTATTGTATGATAAAGCTTTGAATTTGATGGCTGTTACGGAATAGTCAAAACAAACATGCGCCTGGTAACTTAGACTCCGGACAAAAACAGTACAATAACGACTTTATCTACAAATGACACGAGGATTGCAGTAATAAGTTTATTTCCCTTCTTGAAAAATTATTAAAAACTGTATTTGGTAAGATAGTATTATTAAAGAAAGCTAATTTTCCTATTTTTCAATGATATCATACCAACATTCTTCTTTCTCAATTTCTAAAAAACCATCTTTCATATAGCTTACTCTTTTTTATGGCTCGGCATATTTCCATTGAATGTCTATATGCGCAGAGCGAGAGACCGTGTTACCAGATACACTCGATAGTATCAACATATTGAAACGTTCACCAACTCAGTCACTAATGAACGTATCAACTTAACAACATGTAGTAAAATTTTGAATTTTTATTCTGATACATATGGTATTCTTCAATTTTTCTTCGAACACCTATGAGAATATAGCACACCGTCGACACTTGAGACTAAACACGGCGCCACCGATCTAACTTTACGTTTTACAGGCAACTCACCGCGTTACCATGCATATCACTCAACAAAAAACCAGCATATAAGCTTGTCCAAGTCGCAAGCTAGTAAGTAATACTTTAATTGTTCTTAATTCCAAGCAGCTAACAAACAATCAACTGAACACAACCCAACGGTTATATCACTCTATCTAAATTATAGATAGAGCGGCACCGTTCGACTACAATTCGAAATTTAAATGGCAATGCCAACACACTCCACATCTTGACGACAAC